TTATGTTTCAGGAAGAAGTAAAAATGATGATGATGACAGTCGTAATGGCGGTGATGGTTTTCGTCATGATGATGGTTATGATGGTGACGATGACGACGACGATGGTGATGGTGATAGAGAGATAGTAAAGAGGTCAGATGGCTATAAAGAAGACGTGAACTGTTCTAAAAATAAAAGTTAGTGTTTGATTGATTGTCTGATTGGTTGGTTGATTGATTGATTGACTGATTGATTGATTGATTGATTGATTGATTGATTGATTGATTGATTGATCGATCGGTCGGTCGGTCGGCCGGCCGGTCGGTCGGTTGGTTGGTTGATTGATTGATTGGTTGATTGGTTTGTCACTCAACTTTCACTCAGGTTGTTTGCTATCAAGTGGTCAGTCAATGTTTAACGGCCAGACATGGTTGGATGATGACCTGTGCATCAACTGCACGTGCTCAGTTGGTTATCCCCTCCCATCATCCTTATCATCATAACATTATCATAACATCATCATAACATCATCATAGCATCATCGTCATCTCACTGTTATCATTTTAAATATGGATTGTGTACTGCAAACATTCTTCTATTTAGTTTAACTTTTTATCACATCATCGTCATCATCATCACGCCATCTACGTTCATCATCATCATCTTCTTCTTCTTCTGCTGCTTCATCATCATCTTCATCAGCAGCATCAGCAGCAGCATCACAATCTACCACCATTCATTAATAAATGGTGGACCAAACCAGTCGAGTTTAGCCAATTCTCCAAACTATTCATTCATTCATTCATTCGTTTATATATCATTTACTCATATATTCATTCACTCATTCATTCGTTCGATCATTTTTTGCAGAATGGTTTAGTAACATGTTCAGCAATAATCTGTAAATGTAACAACATTATCAACAACAACATCAACAACAACATCAACAACAACATCAACGTCAACAACAACATCTTAAAATGTTGCCCGGAGTGTTACACAACAAAAACAACAACATCATCGTCGTCGTCGTCGTCATCATCACCGTCACGTCGCTGTTACTCACAGCATCTTAAAAAGTTTTTTGAAAACGGCGGGAAATGGATACGCGGTTGTCTGCAGTGCATTTGTGTGGTTAGTTATGCTGTTGTAGTTGATTTGTTGTTGTTGCTGTAGTTGATTTGTTGTTGTCGTAGTTGTTGTAGTTGATTTGTTGTTGTTGTTTTAGTTGTTGCAGTGTTGTAGTTGATTTTTTGTTGTTGTTGTTGTAGTTGATTTGTTGTTGTTGTTGTAGTTGATTTGTTGTTGTAGTTGTTGTAATTGATTTGTTGTTGTTGTCGTAGTTGTTGTAGTGTTGTAGTTGATTTGTTGTTGTTGTTGTAGTTGATGTTATTGTTGTTATCTGCGTTATATAAAGTTGGAGTTAAGGATTGGTTGATTGATTATTTCTCAACAACCAATGGCAGGCCGGGGTTGAGGACTGCCGACC